GTCTGTGTGTCTGTCTGTGTGTCTATGTGAGTGTGTGTGTGTGTGTGTCTGTCTGTGTGTCTGTGTGTGTCTGTGTCTGTGTGTCTGTGTGTCTGTGTGTCTGTGTCTGTGTGTCTGTGTCTGTGTCTGTGTCTGTGTCTATGTCTGTGTGTCTGTGTGTCTGTGTGTGTCTGTGTGTCTGTGTCTGTGTGTGTGTCTGTGTGTGTGGCACTGATGAGCTGAGGCCTGGCTGATAATGTCATTTGCAACTCTTCAGTGGGGCCCCGCGGGCATTAGAAAAGTAAATTGTCGTGCTAAAACGTGGGCATGAACAAAAATACTTGCCCTGATTTCTCTGCCATAGTAATAATAATTTCTAGCATAAATTATATTAACCTTCTTCCTCTCATAAAAAAATTGTTTTAACCCTTTAGGGAGAAAGAACAAGGTAACAGACTAAGTATAACGTACTGTGTTTTAAATTTATCTCTGTGCCTCAAATTCCTTCTTACATTATTTTACTGAAAGACTTTTAAGGTTACTTTTATGCAATGAAGTGTACCAATGAAGTGTAAGGAAAACTTTGTGTCAAGTTTTCCTTACTGGAATGTAAATCCTCTAAAATACATGCTGTTCACATTGTGCCTTTTCTTCCAGCTCTCCAGTTGTCTTCCTGCACCACGGGAGGATGGAACACCAAACTTCAGAGTCTGACAGGGGAAAGGTAGTGGAGGGTGAGCAGATGACAGTGCAGAGTCCTTCTCTGCCCCAGCTGCAGAATGAGGGATCTGGAGTGGAGCAGTTCCACTCTCTGTTGGCTCCTGTTAATTGGGACGCAGCTTTGAACTCAGTGCTTGTGCCTCAGGTGAGCACCCAGAGCCATCTGTCTCCCCAGCTGCCATCAGGCAGGTACTGAATCATCCAGGCACTGGGGAACATCTCCAGGAGGAAAGAAAGCAATAGTCTAACACATTCACTGCAAGAATTTGGGCATTCAGCCCCCAAGGCCAGCAGCCCGTCTGCTAGGGTCTGAGCAGACCTCTTTGCTCCAGCAGCTTTGGGGTTAATCAAACTATACCCTCTTTTTTTTTCTTTTTCTTTTTCTTTTTTTTTTCTTTTTTCTTTTTTTTCTTTTTCTGCCTCTCAAAGACAAAGCTATATCCCTGGCAACAAACACCCTATTGCTTTACCATGGTCTAAGCCTGTATTTCACCAAAATCCCCTTGGGCAGATTGATGCTGTCCTGGGCGTGATGTGGCTGTGCCCTGGCAGCTCTGACTCTGACACCAGAGCTCATATTGTTGCAAAAATTCTCTTCTGCTGTGCCTGCATAAATAATTCTTTGTTGTGCATGTGTGTTTATATTTATTTATGTGTCTTTATTTGTATGCATGTGTTGTAGTCAGAGTTTTCTGAAGTTTCTGGGGGTGCAGGCAGGGGAAGAAGCCTAAGTCCCACTGGGATTAACCCCGTCTGGCTGTGCACAGCTCTGCCTTTGTGTGTTTTTCCAGCTCAGTCCTCCACTCCTTCCTCTCACACCCGCTGGCGGAAATGAGCTGCCCCAGCAGTGACTAATTGTACCAGGTCAAGGCAGGGCAGGTCCCTCCCTCCCCTGCAGCCCCTTTCCTTTCCCTCTCCACCTGAGGTGCTTTATGGAGGAGACAGCCAAAGCTGCACGGCTTTGAGGTTTTTGGGATGGGATCCCCACTTGCCTACCAGAGATGCAAGGAACCAGCTGACTGGGCACTGGGCACTGATGTCCTGCCATGTCTGAGCAACCTGCAGCACTTGGGTTTTGGTGAAGGAAGCGAGTGCCATCAAAGCAGTCTACATCGCTGGCTCAGCAGGACTTGGGTTTAATGAATCCTTGATGCTTTGCATCATGTCTTTTTGTTGTTACCATCTAGCATGCATTTAGCACGTGTTTCTAACCAGGTAATTATTTTATCCTTAGGTGAAGCATGTACTCCAGCACCTGTCATTAGCAGCACCATGTGTTCAGTTTATGCTGTAGATCCTGAAGTGCTATATTTGGATGTCTTTGTCATAAAATACCTCAGGTGCCCTGTGGAGGCCTCAGACAGCCCTTTGATGAACTCCAGACATGCTCCTCATTGGCTCATTATCTAGCTGTTTACCAGGTGAAGTCTCAATCACCTATTATATTAATTGCAACATTCCAGTAATTAGATTTCCTGTTTTTCAGGCCTATGTGCTATTATTTCAGCCTTCCACAACACACAGACCTGGAATGCGTGCTGTCAATCTGTATTCATGCCAACCAAGTGCAAACAGAGCAAACTGCCTGAGAGCAGGGAAGGACACTGATGTCTGCAAGGACACCAGGCACTGTGTGGCAGCTTCACCTGCTCTGCACAGACTTCCCCACTGAAGAGAAAATGTCACCCCTTGGTTCCACTTCAACCTGCAAGAAATGAGATTTCCCAAGCCACTAGCCAACTGCGTCATAACTAGGAGCAGTGGTGGGTTCATCTCTTCTTTAGCATCTTTAGCATCTATTTTCTAAATACAACATTGCTCAGTCCTTCTCACACAAGACCTCTTGCTAACTTCCGTTTTTTCCCCCTTAAATAAATCTTGCCATTCAAAATCAGTTGCTCTGTATGGACTTGCCATAGAAAATATTTGCAGTACCATTTTCTTTCTGTAGAAGTGCATTTATTTCCTATAGGAATAATATGCAGTAAACACATTTTATTCCTCTGCATCTGTCACATTGTAAAGACTGTGTTTGCTTTAGGCATTTTCCTGTCCTTCTATGAAAATGCATGAACTTATTCAGGTTATGAAAACATTGAAGGATGTGCTTGGCTATTTGCTGCTAGACCACAGACCCATCCCAGCCTTCCTCCCCGCCTTCCTCACCGTCTCCATTACAAGGCTTCCCACACCTTCAGTGTTTATGCCAATGAAGTCAGTGGAAGAATCCTTTCTGCCAAATGAAGTCTTACTCATTAAGCAGCAATTTGTTGTTATATTTATCACAGGTTTCCTCACTAGGCAGACTCTACAATGTATCCCAGAAAGTACCTTTGCTTTCTGTGGGAGCTTTGTGTGGGTTGCCGATGAAATTCTACCTGTTGTGCTTATTCTCCACTGAGGACCCAGCTGGAGCAGAGATGCTTCAGTGAAGCTTTTGACTCAGCTAGGACTGAAATTATTCCAGCTCTGGCAAATAAATAGCAGCATGGTAAGCAGTCTGGGAAATCCAACACAGCTGACACTGGAAAACACCAAGGAAACTGCAATGGGAGCAGGAGTTCTGCGCCACAGGGCACTGACTGGGCATGCTGGAAGAGACAGCATGCTGTGGTCTGCACAGCTCTGTAAGAGGCACTGATATGCCCACACCTGGGCAGCTTAGCTGGGGCTAATCATTAGACTGTGCAGGAAAGTCCTTTCCTGGCCTGTTGGGCCGGTGTCTCAATGAGACACTGTGTTTTGGCTTAAGACAGAATGTGTGAACAGCATATGGTGGGGACCAGAGCAACAGTGTGTGAAGGAGAGATAGAAGAGGCTGTGCTAGCACCTTGAAGTCATTACTCTTAGTCATTCCTCTTATAGTTATTTCACAGTCTTTAGAAATACATATTTACTCAGTAACAACAAGTTTTTAAAAAATCCTATTAAAATAATAATGCCTGCATTAGTCCTTCTTCTGGGAAAATGAAAGATTGAAATTTTTTTAGGCTAAATACATCATTCCCTGTTCTTATCAAATATGCAACATGTTTTCTACTCCTCATACTTTCTACAGCGTCTTTTAGTTCCTTTTAAAATACTCCTCTAGCTAAGAGCAGAGAGATACATCTGCTAATTGTATCACAGTGACATTCCTCAATGGCTACACAAATAATTCCTTTTTCTTCTTCTCCTCCATTTCTTCCTCCTCCGTTTTCTCCTCCTTCTGCTTTCCCAGCTTAAGTGATATCTACTTTAATGCATTGATGGATTTGAGACCCAAGTGCTACTGAGGGCTCAGCTGAGACCTAATGCCACATTTGCCCTCTTCTGAGAAACTGGGAGTGAGAATTTCATGTTTCTCCTTTGTTCCACAGTGAACAGCACTAAGTGGAGGGAAGCTGCCAGCTCTAAACTACTCCTTGCCTGCAATATGAGTCATGTTTCTAAGCAGATATTTTTTTCCTGCTAAAAAATAATAAAGCAGATCTTCAATATCAGTAGAAAATGCTGTGCATTTCCACTCTTCTTAACCAGAACAAGTATTTATCTTTTTCCTGCAGTGCAGCTTGGATCAAATATACTCACACTGCTGAGGAAAGACTCAGTTGGTGGAGCAATAGAAAGATCACAGTAGAAAACAGACAATTATCACAGCTTATTGGGAACCAGTCACTAAATTCTTTCCTAAAAAAAAGGAACATATATGTATGTACATCAGCATTCAACACAGAGCAATTCCTTTTTCCAGAAAGCTATCGCTGTATCAAAGCCCAGAATAAACATTTTATTAATGCATTGCTTTTAATATAACAATTTTACAGCCTAATTGCATTCCAGAAGCAATTATCTCCTGTAATATGTGCTCTGGATGTAACAGGGATAGAAAAAATGTTTCTGTAATTAGTGACAACTTAAAATCTGCATCAGGAGCCCTTTGCCTGCCAGATTTTCACACACAGCTTTGTCTGCCAGGCTGGTTTGTGCATGGCTGCTGGTGCCAGGGCTGAACTCCAGGACTGTAGTGACAGTCACTTGCTGCAGACCAGGTGCTTTGCAAATCTGAGCAATGTTACATGCACAAAGCCTTTGTTCCCAGAAATGTCTTGACCAGGAAAGCTTTGACTTCAAGCCCCACTTCCACCCTTCCAGGACAGGAGCCATCAAATTTATCTTTTTGTTAACATGACCTTGTTATCAAATCTTTGTCCAGTTGAGTTCTAAACCTGCCATAGAATTGAATTTTGCATTTTAATCACCATGTAACCACATTCTTTAAGTACTTTCTTCCCCAGGGTAGAGGTGCTGGTTATGCTGTGGTAGAAAGCTGATGGGTATAAGTTTCAGTTCTTTTCTAGATACTCCAATCTCTGTGTGTAGTCTGATTTACCATATACTTAGCTGGCCAAGGTAAAGGGTAAATCTAGGTGCTTCATGGCCAGCTTAACCTGCTGTGAGGCATCCCAGCTTCCTTACAAGCTTTTGTCAAGAGTGAGGACTGCCTCTGCTGTAATTCAGTGCCAGCCTAGCACAGCTGAAAAAAGACAAAGCTCTTTTTGGTTATCTTGGGAATACATCTAGTGAATCACTGAATACTAAAATCATAGTTTGGGTTGGAAGTGATCTCAAAGATCACCTGGTTCCAAACCCCAACAGCAACCAAGTTGCTCAAAGCCCCATCCAACCTGGCCTTGAACACTTTCAGTGAGGGAGCAATGACAACATCTCTGAGCAGCCTGTGCCAGTGTCTCACCACTCCCTCAGTAAAGAATTTATTCTTAGCACCCATGCTAAATCTCTTCTCTTTTAGTTTAAAAACATCCCCCCCTTGTCTTATCATTAAGTGCCCCTGCAAAAAGTCTGTCTCCCTCTTTTTTAATGAAAAAAAAAAGGATTGAAAGGCTACAAGGAAAACTTAGAATCTACTAAAAATATATATTGTTTTGAAGATTGTGGTTCCACATGTACTGGAAGTGCTCTCTATCCCTACACACCAGATAGGAAACAGCGATTTTTTTTCTCTGTGGACCAACAAAAGGCATGAATTTTTCCTAGGTGACATAGACAGGGTCCCTAATCTGCTGATCACCACTAACAGCTTGCTGTCTGACACATTTATACATCCTACATTGAAAACACCATCCATGTCTACTGCCCAGCACAAATGTCCACCAGAGTTCAAAGCCAAGTGCCTGCTTGAACACCCTTCAGAACCTCTAGGTAATTCAGGTCAAGGAATTGACATCTAGACAACCTTGCACTTAATTCCTTAATTCACAATTTCTTGTTTGTGTAGAATATATCTAGTGTAGAAGATGTCTAGAGAATATCTAAATGGATGTGCTAAATTTGGGGGCTGCACAGAGACTGTGCATCCCACACACTTTGCAGTTGGACAGCCACATGTATACCTGCCACACAAGGTGGGAAAGAGTCCTCAGCTGGTTTTGGCAATTGTTACATAGGCATATAGAAACTTTCTTTTCAGGAGGGATTAAGAAGAGCTGATAATTTTTGTTGTGTTCCACTAAAACTGTTAATTGGGAAGTTATTCTTCACAAAATTGAGCATCAAGCCCCCTGCCTTTGCAAAAGCACAATGTTACTCTTCAGGCTATTTTATGTCAGAGCATATCTTGTTAACCAAAATAGCAGCTGCAGGCACAAGAGAGGAATGCAATGGGTTCTGATGTAGCAAAAGTCCACTGCAGGTGGAACAGCCTGCTTTGGTCTAGAACACTCCTACAGGAATGCTGTAAAAGTTGCAAAGATCTCAGAGCTACTTACTGATGTAAATATTGGGTCACCATTTATTTAGCAATGATAACATAAAACCTCAGAAAAATACACTGTATGAAAGAAAGTGCCTACAAGTAACTATAGAGGGGGGAGACAGGACAGGGTTTGCCTGAATCTATTCTCAGTTCTTCTCTTTGTACACCTAAATAAGTGATTTTTCTACTGTATTTTCTTCATTCTAGGAGGAAAAATGCTGAGAGAAGGTGTGTAATCATTTTACTCAGTCTTCCCCCTATGGAGGGGGCTGAAAATCAATCGCAGCAGTCACATCTGAAAGCTGAACTTTGGGGTCAGACAAAAAAAATCTGTTTTCTCCTGTCTCACTCTCTTTCTGTGTTCTGCTAAGCTGTTGCAATAGTATGGTGTTGCTTACAGGCATCTGCAAGATAATAAGGTGGTACCCTAAAACTAGATCAACTGGGCATTGATGTGACAGCTGTGGATCGTACTGTAATGATGAGGTTAAATCACAACAGATGCCTCTTGGAAGTTTCCTGAGGGCTTATTTGCTGATGGCACAGTTTCACTTCACAGAGAAGGAAGGTCCAGGCCAGGCACTTCCTGAAGGCAAACAAATGGTTCTGTTATTCTGCCTGCTCTGTACCACGCAATGTGAACCCTAGTTACAGGCCCAGATCAGTTCATGGCTGGTCTCTGTAGATATTTTCTCATGGTAAACAGGGCTCCAAGACCTTGGGTAGCCCAGGAGTAAAAAGCCTCAGGCACTTCAATTACAGGCTCACATAGCTGGGGGTGATTTCTAGTTTCTTAACAGCTTGCCTTCTGGGTGCTTTAGAAAGGTGAGGTGCTCTTTTCCTTTTTTTTTTTCCCAAGTAATTGCCTGTGCCACACTGTGTTTAGGCTGTGAAATTTTCTAATGTGTTTGCCATACTGCAAAGCTCAGCTCATATGGCAGGTGAGTTTTGTTATCAGTGAAGCCTTTTCCTGATGACATGCAGCACTTCATGAAACTCATCTGGCACTAGTACTGCAGCCAGTAATGGAAAGAACATCACAGGTAAATAATAAATGAGCAGAAACCTCTGTTTTTACTGACCATCATGGTTTGATCAGTGCACAAATCAGAGCTTGTATAAATCTTCATTGAGGAGGCAGCTTGCCAAAAACAATTGACACCCATTGAGCTGACATGAAATATGCAGATCTGGTACACCATGATGTACCTGTTGACACACAAACACTGGAATATCCATGTCCTGAATGGAGAGGAGGAGCTCTAAACAGAGGTAGGTATTTCCATACTGCACTGGTTTTGCATGGGATGGAGTTAAATTTCTTCCCAGTAGGGCTGTGTTTTGGATTTGTTCTGAACAGTGTTGATAACACAGGGATGTTTTTGTTATTGCCAAGCAGGTCTCACACAGAGCCAAGGCTTTTTCTTCTTCTCAACCAACCACATCTGCAACCAGGCTGGGGGTGCACAGGGAGCTGGAAGAGCTGGAACAGCTGAACCCAGCAGACCCAAGGGACATTCTTGACTGCCATGCTCAGTAGAAAAAGTGGAGAGAAGTAGCAGGAAGGGGAGGGATGTTTGAAGCTATGGTGTTTGTCTTCCCAAGTCACCATTACACAAGAGGTGGCCCTGCTCTCCTGGAGATGGATGAACACCTGCTGTCATGGGAAGCAGGGAATGAATTCCTTGTTTTGCTTTGCTTTCATGGGCAATTTCTGCTTTTTCTAGTAACCTATCTTTATCTCAATCCCCAGGTTTTCTAGTTTTTTTAACTTTCCAGTTTTCTCCCCAGTCCCACTGGTGGGGAGTGAGCAAGCAGCTGTGTGGGGTTTACCTGTTGACAGGAGGCAAACCATAACACATACTCCTGGATAGTGTATTTCCTCTTCTCTTTGGAATAGTTGGCCTTTCTTAAGTGCATCACATGGTTAGAAGGGCAGTGCTCAATTTTTTCTTTTTTTCTTTCAGCTATTACCACCTTCTGTGACCTGTACATTGTGTGGATTTATCTTTCTCTGGATCTATTAATTCCATCTAATTATTGGGGGGTTGGGTTTGTTGTTTTGTGTTGCAGGGGGAGGGTTTGCTTGTTTTTCTGTTGTCGTGATGTGTCACTCCTCTTTGCCAAAGTCTTCCACATAGTATTCCTATGGGATTTCTTCCATCAGAAGCTCTACTGCCTTTCACTGTTTTGGCACTTCAGCTCTATTCTTGTTCAATTTGTTTGTTTGTTTATTTGTTTGTTTGTTTGTTAAAATTACCAAGCATGACATTGCAGCAAGGAAAGCTCTTCCATCTCTCACATTCTGCTCAGTTGGAACATTAGCCGTTTGAATTCTAGAGAGCGATTTCTTTATCCATTGCATTGTACTTAATAAACTGATCTTCTATCACTGGTGTCCTAAAGCTCACACAGTCAAAATCTTTCTACTTTATTGTTTTGAAACAGTTCTTTCAATTTTTAAAAGAAGTGAATCATTGGGATAGTAGTTCTTCTTTCTGTATCTATCATAACTTCAGCATTCTTCC